CAAAGCATGGTCCTCAGTCCTATATATTTCTTGGTAATCCGTAAAATCCTTATGAACTGCGTGACATACGCTATGAGTCGATACTCCAATCGGGCAACCATCACGTCTTCCGAGGATGGAGATGTGCTTCTGCGGGATCGCTAGAAGGCTTCATGCCAACGACATAACAGTAAGAGGAATAATGACGCAATGCAAGGAACGAAGGCATCATCTGCCGCTTCTGAAAATGGACCAGCGAAAAGCTGCCAATATTCTGCGGGTGCGAACAATCAACAGGAAAGGAATTCTTCGCAACAGCAGTTTCAACGGAATTGTTTCGGATTTGAATTTTTGAGAAGGAGTGCTCAGAAGATTGCCAATTAAGATGTGGATTTGTGCAGTTATGGCTTCTTCCAGGTCAAACGTTAACCCCAGCTGCGAAGGAGAATGGGGCGAGAAATGCAGGGAACCCCTCTCAGCAGTATAAATGGGCCGCCTTTCGGATGTCGTAGGGACCGACCGAAAAATTTTTACTGTAGAAGTTGCTTACAACAGGCTGAATCATTGGCAGCTGCTTTCTCGGGCTAAAAGGAAGGTCAGGAAACGAACAGTATGAACTAGAAGCCTGTTTTTGTAGTATGGATTGTTCGGGTCGTCATAACATTCAGAGGCATAGCTGCTCTCGTTTTTGTTAATGGAAACATCAAAAACAACTTCAAAACTTACGAAAATGCTTTTGTGAAAGGCCTTCGAGCGCCATGATCTCAAAACGCTTACCCGGGCGAATTTCATTTTGCAGCAAAACTGAGCATCTGCTCATGGATCGAAAATCAACGAGTTCCTTCTGCAAGCGCAACCTCCATGGATTCTGGGATAAGGATAAGTGCCCATCCAACTCTCCAGACCTAAATTCAATAGACTACTCTGAGGCTATCTGGCACGGGAAGCATCTTCACCTTATCCTAGTCTGGATGGATGGAAAGCAGCGATTGAGATATAGTGGGAGAGGATTGATGTCAACTACCTGCGGCTCACTTTGAAAGCCTTCTTCAAAAGATCGGAAGCTTGTCTTCTGGCATAAGCAGAAAATTCCGATTGTTGTCTTTCGTAGTTGTTTCTGTTCTGTTGCTTAGCGAACAGCAGGCTTTCTTCGTAAATCTGTATTTTTTTAATAATTTGAGAAGCGAATAATCACTCTACCATATTTTGTAGCCACCTCATATTGTCTGATCTTGGCGACGTACAGTTGTTTCCTTATTGCTTGGTTTATCGCGAAGCTCACGAGTACGTGACAAAATACCTGTGAGGAGTGTGCATCATTTAGATAGATCTGGCTGTAATTTGATGTGCGCTCATCGAACCACCTTTTCACGTGCTGTTTCTTTTGTACTGTTTACAGGAATGGTTACTCGGTTTCCTTCCTTCCGTCCCACGTTTCCTGAAGAACAAACTTGCAGTAGAACAATCATCAAGCAAGCTGGATTGTTTTGCTAAGCACTCGCGGGATCCCAAACTGTGCAGTATGAGGACGGATGGCTTCATCCGTGATGTGAGGACCCTCCTGTTGATGGGACTCAGTTGTACTGCATCATTTCCTTTTTAGCGGTTACGAACTACGGCCCAATCGGGAATCAGCACGCTGTCTTCTAATAAGGAATATCACTCGTGAAAATCTTTCGTCTCGAGGCAGCATGGATTTCGTAGTAGTTCAATGGCGGGTCAACTTCGTTCGTTCGTTCTTGTCGTGAGGCGATCCGAGTGGGGATCAGAAGTATGCAACCTATAACGACCTCTTGAATTTCCACTCAATGCACACTTCAGGTTGTCGCCGTCCTGACCGAAACCGTCCATTTTTGG